TTACATGCATGGCTTTCATCGATGCAATTACGACAAGCAAGAATGATCATACCGCGCATGCGCTGTACTAGTAAATCATTTAAAGGTTTTGTTTTTTCATCGTTACATGAACCAATATTGTTGGGAAATTGTGCATCGATTTTATTCATGGTTTTTCCCACCAGAGCTGGAGAGAATGAAAAACATGGTTTCAGTCCACTGAAGTTTAGAAATATCTTTCTATATCCAAAGCCAGATAAAATACTAGCGTACATATAACAACTTGGGCTACCATGACGGATATTATCACCTGATGATTTGACAAAATGATCTGGGAGAGAGTTATTAACAATTGAGATGGGTCGAACTTGTGCAATGGTATTTTTCGAGTTGTTAAATCAAGATGTCGAGAATATTAAAATTCACTTTTTGCCAAGTAGAATTTGTCCCCATGAAAACGCCTTCATACACCCAATAATTTAAAGCACCGGATAATACTATTCAGGATTGTGGCTGATTGATTATTAGGTTCATTATTCAAATCGCCACTCTGATCGAGCGTGCAACTGTAATCCCTAATCACTAAAATGCGATCATCAGTTATTAGGTTTACCAGACGCTTCAGTGTTAGGGAAACGTCACGACGTTTCTTTCCATCAATAGGGGCATATACATTGATTATATTGTACTGCGTTTCAGTTATCTTTACTTTTGCATTGCATACAAAAGTCTACCTGCGACTACATTTTCGATAATATGGTACAAGTTCTCCCCTAAGGGAAGAGTAGGACAACACTACAGAAAACAGTATATCACAACGCAATGCCAAAGAGGACGCCACACCGCCTCGTGAGAAGTTTAGAGTGTGTTTCCTGCAAGGGGTAGATATCAGACTTGTGTAATGTTTTAAGGGATTTGAAAACGCTTTAACGCATTAACAGAAGCAAAATCAAGATAAATCATAGTTAATTTTAAAGAGAAAAACAAAATTATTAAGGCATTGCCGCTATGTTTTACAGTTGCTTTTATTTAATTATTCAACTTTTCTACAAGCTTTAGGAAAGGTTCCCGATAGTTGTATAGGTCTGGGCGTGCTTTGCAAAATCGTTTTAGATTAGGGCAAT